CAGCCTCTTCCCTGAGAGATTAGGTGGCTGAAATATGATGATTTAGACATGCGGGCATCTCCACACTTCCACACAGCAGTCATCACTGGGACATCACTTTATAAGCAAACTATTTTAAGTATTTTAAGTACACTGAGTGATGGATGTCAATCTTGGCATGAACGTGGTTTGCAAGGCTCCAAATCCAGAGATAGGATTAAATTTGCTTAAATTTCTATTAGGCTGTGGGTGTTCCTTATTTTTTCCTTTGTTTTGGGCTTTTTCCTCTTAATTTCTACATCTGCTATATACACTCCCCACTCCCCAACTTTTTCTAAACCATTTTAGCAGTAGTCAACCCTGTGAATTGGACGTCATATGCAACAGAAAACGTAAATCATGTTCATTAGATGAAAGACGCAATTTCTCCCTTCATGGAGAAAACTAGGACAACACATATCAGAAGGGGCACAATATGAGTCTTCAAATAAGTCAGCGTGCTTCCTGCATTTAAAAAAAAGCTGAAATCTGTTTGGTCTTAATTGTGATATTTGCAAAGTGTCATGCTTTCTTCTACACCAAAAGATGTCTTAGCTTCTTCAAAATTTGAATTTGTGAGTGGACTACCTTCTCCAGCCAAACCAGGATCTGGGTAACCAATCCTAATTGTATTTATACATGTTAAAATTTCCCTGTTCTTTCCACTCACTCAAAACGCAGATTAAATATAATAACTTCTACTTGGAAAAGCACAATTTTTGGAGCCTTGAGTTGGCTGCACTGGAAATTAGAACTGTCTTTGATGATGCACAGCTGTCTTCGTTTCTTAATCACAGATGTCTAAAGCATTCCAGGAGGCTGACTCATATACCTGGAGAGAGGGACCATGGTTTCTCATTCTTTCTACTGAAGCCCTTGTCTGGTCAAGAAGAGACCAATTTTTCCTTTGTTCTAGGAACTTAACTACAGGATGATCTTGATTAAGATAAAACCTGACATCTCTTCACCACCATTTCCTTTTTGTTTTCTTACGTTTGTCTCAAGCATAATGTGCAGCACTTAGTGATCTTTCTGCTATGGAGACTTACTGAAGACAAGATCCCAACATGGCAAAACTTAAAAGAGTTTTGCCAGCAATAGCTGCTGTTTGCAGAAAAGGAAAGAGAGCATCCTGTGTTGTAGCCTACCATCCGCTGAAGGAGATCAGTATGGACATCCAGGAGTTTTTGAGCTCCCCAAATAGTCTCAGACGAAAGTCAAGCCCCTGAGATGAGCAATTAAGAACCAAAATTTCTGAAGTTCTTTGTCATATGGTTCTCAGCTTTGTGACTCTAAATAGCTGTCTCTCCACAAAAGAATTCCATTATTCCACAACAGCAAGTCCTCTTTTCTGATCTCTTGCAGGAAGATCATTACTCACCACCTCAATCCATCCAAGGGCTTTCACTTGGAACCCAAAGTGCGTAAGTAATTAAGATTTGTATTCTTTGAGGACAGAAGTATCAACAAAGATGTAGCTGGCTTCTCATGTGAGAAAAATGCTTACATACCTGCACAGTTCTACTTGGAAGGCCTATGCATTTTACTATATGTAAATTACACTTCAATTTGAAAAATTCTACTAGCGAAGACACCCATTCTCTCAGACACTTGCCCTTATCTAACTTAGAGCTATAATTAACAGGGTTCTCTATAACCATATACTTTGCCCCATAAACAAAGCAGTAAAAAAACCTGAGTATCTTCCCTCCAACTAAAATTACATTACTTTTCTCAGTTAAATCTTCCATTCAGTTACAATGGACTATCACTGGTCTGTCTGGATGAGCAAAAGGTATAATTTACAAGAAACTTACAGAGCTGAAGGGATGAGAAAACTATAGCCCTGAAAAGTTGTGTGAGCATCTGAGGTCCTACACAAACCAGCGCCTAGAGAGCAAGCCTCTAACCTCCCTTAGCCTGCAGTGGCAAGAGCACAAGTGGTCTCAACGTGTAACAGAAAGAATGGACATTTTTTGGTCGAGCATGGTGGCTCCCTATAACCCCAGCAATTTGGGAGGCCGAGGTGGGTAGATCACCTAAGGTCAGGAGTTCGAGACCAGCCTGGCCCTCATGGTGAAACCCCATCTCTACTAAAAGAATACAAAAAAAAAAAAGACTAGCCAGGTATGGTGGTCGGTGCCTGTAATCCCAGTTACTTGGGACGCTGAGGCAGGAGAACTGCTTGAACCCAGAAGGTGGAGGTTGCAGTGAGCCAAGATCATGCCATTGTACTCCAGCCTGGGTGACAAGAGCAAACCTCTGTCTCAAAAAAAAAAAAAAAAAAAAAATGGACATTTTTAAAATGTATATAGCTCAGTCCCAGCCCTGAACAACTACATTCAACCACCAAAAAATTATTCCCAATGAAAAGATTTATCTCAAGGAATAAATAGCATTAAATCAAGAATTAATAAGCAGTCAGGCGATTTGAGATTTTATTGAGAAAATATCAATTTTGACATTATGCAGTTTCTGATTTATCAGAATAAATTCTTTACAATATTGATCACCATCACCACTTTAGTGTATTTATACAGTCTCTGAATAAAATATAGTCACACTCGGCAAGGCTAGAATATTGAAATTATGGCCAACATTGCTTACTTTAAAATTGTTTATAATGAAGCTATAGTAGTTGTGCAACTAGAACAGATGTTTTAAAATGTTTGCCATTCAAAGATAGGCTTGGTGGGACAAAACTCATATGCATACTGCATACATATATTCCTTTTCTTTACTGTCAATTGTTCAGACACTAACGTGACATTACAAGCACCTCAAATTCCCACTTCAAAAGGAATAGAAAAACGGGAAAACATGATTTCCCGTTTCACAAAATTAAAAATGAAGTCAGAAAAGAAGTAAAACTCATTTTTATGCATTTAACTTAAGATCTTGAGTACACTACTCCTTCAATTAGAGAGAAGGAAGCCAGTACTGCAGAAGTAACCAATAGTCCAAAGAACGAATGGCCCCATGACCTTCTCTATGGTTCATGACTTGCTGAGGGCTGATGCAAACACTGGCAAGCTATTTTTCATGATCTCCAAGGATCTGGGATATGTAAACGAAATGATTAAAAGACATTTCTCTGAATTTGTGAGCGGAAGACTGAAGAATCAGAACAAAGATCCAACTACCTTTCATGTGGCTACATGTCACCATTATACCACAACTCAAAACCCACAGGAGAGCCTTCTTTCATATACACATTCAAAACGGCGTTCCATATATGCAGTTGTACACATTGCAAAAACAAAATGCTTCCTTACACATGATTAGTAATCTGGTTTTAGACTCTGAAGTGAAGCATATTTAGTTAACCCTCTCCAGTTTGGAGGCCTAGTGAGGTTTAAATGTTTTTGGATATAGAATCTGCTTAGAATTTAGTGAAAACTATGAACCTTAGACTGTCTTTGGTAATGAACAAAACTTGAAAATATTAAACTTCCTTTGCTTTGTCACTGAAGCAACTATAAGCTTTCTATGATGTATGTATTATACTAGCTTGTATGTGACTTTAGTGTCATAAACACCCATTGCCTTTTTGGCACTTTTAAAGCACAGCCAGGCAAGGTCTGGAAAATTGTTCTGGAAATACAAGTTGGTTCCCTCTGCCTCATGGATGCTTAGGAACTGGTTAGTCCTCTGAAACCACCAGTTTAGACCCCTGTACAGCTGTTCCAGGCCAACTGAGATTCTAAGGAAAGGGATGGAATAACCAGGGGCCTCACAAATGCCTAAATAACCACATATCTATGCCCATAGCCATCCCTCTCTCAACGCCATAGTCCAAGTGAGTCTTGACCTGCCTCTTCCCATTTTACTACCACTGGCTAGAGGGGCACCCAACAATAAGAAACCTTTGCAATGAACATAAACTAGCAAAAACACTCTAGGGCAGCATTTCCTTAAGTGTATCTCTTAGAATACAAATTCCACAAGATACCTACTTTTAAAAAATTCTGGCTGGGTGCAGTGGCTCACGCCTGTAATTCCAGCATGAATTACGCTGGAATTCACGCGGCCTTGTGGGAGGCCAAGGTGGGCAGATCACCTGAAGTCAGGGGTTCAAAACCAGCCTGGCCAACACGGTGAAACCCCATGTTACAAAAATTAGCTGGGTGTAGTGGTGGGCGCCTGTAATCTCACTTCCTTGGAAAGTTGAGGCAGGAGAATCACTTGAACCCAGGAGGGAGAGGTTGCAGTGAGCTGAGATCGTACCATTGCACTCCAGCCTGAGTGACAAGAGCAAGGCTCCTTCTCAAAAAAACAAAACCAAAAACTCCATATAAATTAGGGAAATGATGTATAAAACAGAAGTGCTTCTTGGAGACTGAAAATGCACATTGGCATATTAAAGGTTCTGAAAGGCCAACAGTAACTCAACTTTGTCTAACCCACTGTTTCCCAAACTTACTTGGCCATTGAACCCTCTATTTACCTAACAATATATTCTGAAAAAACACTCCTTTAGGAACTGCTGCTCCCAGAACCAAAAAGATTATTTTTTAAAAATATTATAGCATAATTTCAAATGATTAATAATAAGGATACAAAGACTTATTTTCCTGTCTTGTTATTTTGTTGTCTATTTATTTTGTTCTAAATAATCTTCTATCACATTTCCCTTTCTATTCACAAACCTTCAAATCGAGTTACCCTTTCTGATACCTTTGTTTAAGAATGTTAATTCTTGCTGGGCAAGGTAGCTTACGCCTGTAATCCCAGCACTTTGGGAGGCCAAGGTGGGTAGGTCACCTGAGGTCAGGAGTTTGAGACCAGCCTGGCCAACATAGTGAAACCCTGTCTCTACTAAAAATACAAAAAATTAGCTGGGTGTGGTGGCAGGCACCTGTAATCCTAGCTACTTGGGAGGCTGAAGCAGGAGAATCGCTTGAACCCAGGAGGCAGAGGTACAGTGAGCTGAGATTGTGTCACTGCACTCCAGCCTGAGCAACAAAAGTGATGTCTTTTTAAAAAAAAAAAGAGTGTTAATTCTTATCTGAAATTCATGGCACACTAGGCTGGAAAAAAAATAATTTTGTGTCCTTTTAAATTCCTAGAGTACCTCTCAACTTCAATCACAATTTAATTCCAGGGCAGGTAACCTGGGCTCCTAGCTAACACTACACCCCAAGAGTCTGGGAGCCAAATTATTTTGCAAACCCTTAAAAAAAAAAAATTTATCCTTGTATCTCTGCGAAAATTAGCATTTTGAACATCTAATGAAACTTCAAGTTTGAGGATAATGGGATTACTGACCTTTAATTTCAAAATAACAAATTTTCTTAAAATCTGATTTAAAAATATGGAAACATTGAAAAGTAAACATAAATTCTACAAAGCTGAATGGCAGCAAAAAATACTTCTTTATATCAAGAACATATACAAAAGATCGTCATTGCCACCCAAATTATCTCTGTTGCTCAAAATTGCAATTATAAAAATAACCAAATCAAGACAAGGACAATTACAGCTTAAAACGAAAAGCTACACCTTCTTCATTAAAAGTGAGCATCTTGTCACACTGTACATCTGGAGAGAGAACCTGTACAAGGCACAGGAGAACTACCACGTCAAGGGACAGAACTTTTTCAAAATATTTTATCCTCAGAAGTAAATCCTGCTACCATAGAAAGAGAAAAATATAATCAGATACTTAAAATCACAGCATTTTTGACATCCTAGGGAAAAGGACTTTTTGGTTTTATTTATTTATTTATTTATTTATTTTATTTTCTGGTAAGGCAAAATAGATCTTTAGATATCATTTGTTACAAACACGAGTTTTTTCTTAAGAATGAAATAAAAATTGTATTTAATTTCTATCCTATATTTATTCAATGAAGTTGAATACTATGTTTAGAAAATTAAATTTTAAATCATAGTTTATATAGTGATGCATTTAATCTATGAATTTACTTTAAAAACATTTTTATTTTGAATAATTAGACTCACTAGAAGTTATAAAAATAGTTGAGAGAGATCCCAGGTACCCATTGCTTAGCTTCCTGTCTTTACATGTAAGCATTTATATCTAGGTGTTTTTTTTTTTTTTTTTTGAGACGGGGTTTCGCTCTTGTTGCCCAGGCTGGAGTGCAATGGCGCGATCTTGGCTCACCGCAACCTCCGCCTCCTGGGTTCAGGCAATTCTCCTGCCTCAGCCTCCTTAGTAGCTGGGATTACAGGCATGCGCCGCCATGCCCAGCTGATTTTTTTTTTTTTGTATTTTTAGTAGAGACGGGGTTTCACTATGTTGACCAGGATGGTCTCGATCTCTCGACCTCGTGATCCACCCGCCTCGGCCTCCCAAAGTGCTGGGATTACAGGCGTGAGCCACTGCGCCCGGCCTATATCTAGGTTTTAAAAGGATTAAAGTTTTGAACAGTTGATTAAAAAAAACCGTCAGAAAGATGTAACAGTACTGGTAAATACATACTTTTGGAGGAGGTTCTGAGGAAACACTACCAAGTTCAAATCCCACTTTTATCACATGAAGCTACCTTAACCAATAGGTTTTCTAAGATACTATCCCTGTTACCTATTTCTGCTTCTTGCAATAGTTTTTCCATTTTTACAGACTTATGAAAATTTTTCTCTGACTGAAATAAGCTTCCCCATTCCTTCATGTTACTATATCTAGCAATATTGAATGAATACAAATTATAAATGAAAATAAAAATGCTTGCTTTTATAAAATCTCCAGCTTTCCAGTACCCCCAAAATAATATAAACAGACTTGAGTCGAAATTTGGTTTGTTAATGCCCACCTTCTGTGTGGTTAAAACACAGTTTTGAAGGAATGATCACCTTCAATGTTCTTTACAGCTTCTTTAATGTTACTTTAAAAAGTCTAGTCTTAAGGATGATTGATGGCAGTTTGTTCATGGAAGATCTTCATCTCATGGGAATTATCTGGCAAGTTTTTCTAATCATATACTACCAACAAAAATAAACACAAGCATATTCCCTTTAATCATGTTATCCTCCACCATCACTTCCAAAAGACATTGGCTCACAGTATTCTGTTTAAGGCTGTAGACCATTTATCCCAGCAAACTCAGACTTTATCCACAACCTATCATGACAGCCTGGTCAGAAGTGGTCTGTTCAGTCTGAAAAAACATTCTTTTCTAAGAGCTTCCTATATTGTGTGGCTGGTCCCTCAATTACTTTGTGCTCAGTTACAGCTTCCTGTCATCTCATCTGCTTGTACACAAATAGCTCAACTAAGTAACCCAACATATAAACTCTCACTAAAATCACATGTTGTATCTTAGGAAAGGCAATCTGGAAGTATCATGGACCACAGTGAGAATGTAAGGCTAACGACAGTTTGAAGTAGGGATGACACAAAAGCAAATAAATCATATTGACAATCATTCCCTCTACTAAAAAAGACAAATACTTGTTATTCTAAAATGACCTCCTCTGATTAAAATTTTGATTCATGAAACATTACAGTATGCTTCTTTATCAAAGTCTACATATCAGAAGAACATGGGCTCCCTGTTCTTGTAAAACTTGAAACACATTTTTCTTCCTAATGGACATCAGTGGTTATATTAAAAGAAAAACTGACATAACCTAGCATTATCTTTTGACTTTGCCCATGGAGAAACTTGGAGTTAAATTTATCACTTAATTTTAGAATCTGTCAGTGCTGACATAGTTCTATCCTCTACAAATTTTTAATTTAAACTTTTAATTTTTTAAAATTCCTTAAAATTTAAAAATTTTAAATAATTGTTCTGTTTACATGTAATATACTTGTAATATACATGTAATGTACATTATAACTGTAATATACCTCAAATACTTTTGGAGGGTCTGATATAAATCATAATTAAAAATGACTGGCTCTGATCAAAGCATAAACAGATGTCTAATGAACGTGCTAACCACCCTTCTCCAATATACATCCATCCTAGAGAACAATAAAGTCTCCAAGTCATGATTTCCAATATAAACTATTTAGATTTCAGGCTGCTGGAATCTAATAATCTGCCTTTGAAGATGACTGAAACACACACATACACACGCACACACACACACCGTTGTAGAAGTAATGTGCATCTCATGAGGTACTTTCCCTAAATACATCCAAACAGATGACCAACGTTTTGAAGACTACCTTATTTCTCATTTGGTTAAACTTTTCAAGAAAAAATATTTACAATGACTTAAGGAGTCCTGTATAAATAGCTACCTAAATACAGAACAAATTGAAAGGATGTGGGTCAAACACAGCTGAGCTCTACTCAGCTTAAATTAGATGAGTTTTTTGACTACAAAGCTCATTTTCTTAACATATGGGCTTCTGCAGGACTTGATAAGATTGGCTAAGCACCATAGTAATCTTTTAAGACATTAATCCAAAACATAGTTCTGTATTTTAAAAACCTCAGAAGTGGTTTTAGGACAACAGAAGCATCTCAACCACTAAAATAAGCAAGTTTCTATTATAAGTAAAATTACCCCAGCACGTCTTTTAACAGTTCAGCAACCAATAAATAGAAAATATTCTTTAAAAGCTGCAATTTCTGATTGTTCCTTTGTATTCTTCAACTGTAGGTGAAACATATGACATACGGAAAATAATTAGTTGTCAGAAAGCTTTTGACTACATGATATGCATCTTATGAAAAATATTAGCCTGGGCCAAGATTAGAGAACTTGGACCAGATGCACAGTATTTCTACTACCCTGGCTATGGGCTCCTCCTGAATAGTGTCTAGCAATTGAGCAATTTCAGAAACATGTTACAGCTTAGCATAGTAACGATGACCACTACGTTCAGCTCTCCTGGAATTAACACAAGAAAGACAACTAAAGATTTACTACAAAGACATAAGTCTAAAACTGTCACATTTGCCCAAGAAAACTAAAAGAACCCATCTTAACCCATATTGAACACATCAGCAAAGACCAATGTTATACTGAAGTGCATATTATCAGATGTTATTATATGTAACCACCTCTAATATTTATCTAAGTGCTACTAAACCCCCAAAAGATTAGACTTGTGAGAGCGTAATTAAAAAGCACATTCCTTATCACTTTTTAAAGTTAAATATGGTCTCTTCTACTGAAGCAATTTATCTTTTTCTGGTTCCTAAAATAGGCATCAAATTTCTAAACAGAAGTAAAAAGCCTCAGCCAAAGAGCCACATATTAGGTATTCAGCCTGATCTAAGAAAACTAAGTTAATAAACTGAATAAATTAACTCAAATAAATTAGGAGTGCACATTGAGAACAGAATTGTAGCTTTTGGTCAGCAACATGTGAACCAAAGGCAAAAATCTGCCATGAATAAGGCAGTTTTTTTGTATACAGTACAATATGTTTTTCTTCCCCCCACCCACCAAGTTCATTTAGCATTAACTGATGTTATTTAAAATGCACTGCCAAGCTAGAATACAAGCTTCTTAATAATAATATTAATAATAAAAATAGATGTCATAGAAAGTTCCTTTTGGTTTAGAGTCTTCCTTAATACCTAAGCTTGCTTTTGCCTTCACACACTAGGTGTAAGAGATTACTGCAACAATCGTTTGGCTTTGGCCACAAAGCATGAGTACTGTCAGGGTGAAAGCCGTTGGAAGGAATTATTTTCTTCTTCTGCTGGAGTCAGTTTAAGTGTTGGCAGTTTCCGAGGAGGAAGCTGAGGGCTTTGGCGAAGATTGTCATCCATCTGCAGAAAGTACAAAAGATACATCTGACTAATGCTGTGGCATTGCTTATATGGACTGTGGCCTCCCCATCCAAACTATAGCCTAGAGGAGTACAGAACCATATGTTTCTTGGGCTGCTAAGACAAACCTTTTTCTTGCAAATAATCTCAAGAATTCTAAATGTCATACCTCAAATACCAGCTGACTCAGTTTCTGTAAAAAGCAATGTGCCTCATCCCTGTTACCCTCACATACCTTCACAGAATTGTAGTAATTCCACAAAATAAATATTCTACTGAACTCAACTATAGCATAACTTAAAGAGGTCTTCTGATAGAAAGCGTAAAAGCAGTACTGTTACACTAAGCTCCAGTTTGAAAACTATGTTTATTTACAATATCTTATTTGATCTTCCTGACACACTGTGAAGAAAAGGCAGACACAGATCTTCCCTCTTGTACAGATAAGAAGCAAAACGAGACTCCATAAGGTTAAGTGATTTGCCCCAGATCACATGCTAGTATGAAAGCTGAAACTTGAACCCAGGTCTTCTGATTCCAAAACTATTATTCTTTCAACTATACTTCTTTGCCTCAATGAAAATGACCTGTATTCCAATCGAAAAAGACCAGCTTTTTTAAGCTGAGACTGTGTAGACCAAAGAAAGCTAGGAAATTAGGCAAAAAGAAAGATAAATTCTTTAAATCTAATCTAATCCAGAAAAACTGGATCAGTTCTAAATGAGGTAACCCACATCAAGCTCAAGAAACACAGTGCTGGACCTCAAAAACTCTTAGCCAGTGTCATTAGGCCTAATTGCCCTGAGTTTGTAAAATAATAAGTATTACTTACTTGTACAGGGGGAAAAAAAAAAGCAAGTTTATCAGTTTCTGGGGGAAAAATATGTAACCTCTTGTATTTTTCCAACTAGAATCACACTTGAAATTTCCTTTGTTGGCTCTCTCCCCTATCCAGTTCTTCAATCTCTCTCTCTCATGAAAGAATACCCCAAAGTGCCAAAATATCTACACTGGTGAAAAACTATAGAATGCATCTAGAGTACATAAGAACAAGAAGGAGAAAAAATAAAACTTTCATGTGGAAAAAAGAAAAGGACATCATGGTGCTGTTCATAAGAAAGGATAAGCCCAGTGCTTACAATCTCAAGAAACATTAACTTAAGAGACAGAGAGGCAGACACGCAAGCAAGAAGTGTTTTTGCTTTGTTTTTTTAAAGCAAATCTTTTGGATTTCCCAGCTTAAAGGATACTAATTGTGTGGCAAAAGTAAACCCAATATCCTTTTATCTGATCTTTTCCCAACGCAATAGGGCAACTATTGGCTTCAAAACACTATGTTACATACAACTTTAGTAAAAGCATATTCAAATAGTTTTCTGAAAAATAAACTGTTTAAAAACCTAAAAGGGTACGGTTAATGCGTGACCCAAATGACATTATTAGCTACAGAAAGGAAAATGCTAAACTATGATAAAATGATTGAAGTAGACTTGACCTTTTCAATCAAGTTGGATTCCTTATTTACAAGTTGTGTGAGTTTCTGCAGATTTGCATCTACCATATCTTGTCCAGCTGGAGAGATGCCTAAGAAGCCAGGACAGAAATCAGAGAGAGACAGGAAATTTTTAAAGCATTTAAAACTGTTTAGATTGAAAGAATTTTGAGTCTACCCACCCTGTCTAGTGCCCCACCCTTCCCAAAAAAGGCAAAGAGAAAAACCATTCTGGGTTTAAAGGTAAAGTAAGAGAGGGATTTGAATGATCCAAAACTAAACCCTGAGCAAAAAGGATGAAAATATGTCCATTAAATAGACACTACTAACCAAGTGTTCTGCAACTGGCCACAGTAATTTGTATAATTTTAAAAAAAAGAAAAAAAGCACAGCAGTCCTCATTTCCTTCTCAAATTTAAGCTATTCCTTTCTCACACCCATTTCAAATAGGTCTTCAGTCACAACTGTCTGGATAGTTTTCTAAGGCAGTAACTCCCAAAAAGTTGCCCACCAGACATCCAGAGTATTTAGAAGAACTTAAAAAATACAAATTCTTAGGACTGATGCCTATGAGATTCTAATTTAGTAAGCCTGGAATAGGACCCAAGTTTTTTTAATCTGTCACAGTCAGGTTTGTTAATCATTGCTCCCAAGTAACAAGGTTGAACACACTTAATTTCATGACTCCCAACTGCTAACCCCTTCCTATACACAACACATACCCCACCTTTAAATATAAACTGTCCACCTGAGCCAGCTATCTTTATAACCCATTTCTTAAAAGGACAATTTCAGCCAACCCTCCCAATAGAAATTTAGTATCTGAATCACTTAAGCATAATGCCCCACTGTCTCAACAAAGCACATCCTAAGTGACAGGTGCCCTCTATTTACTATACCTCCATTCTGATGCAATCAGTTTTCGAGTAGTGGAATCATGGGAGTGTACCTCACCAAAATCAATCTGCTGCTGATATCTGTTCACGCAGGAAAATGCTAGAAGCAGCAGGTAAGAATCATTTAAAGTAATTGCCCATTTGCATTAGGATAAATACTGTTTTTCAGCAAAGACTTAATACCTGTGGTTTTAACCTTTTAGAAGAAAGTGACCCATTTCAAAGCGGCAATATTTAAAGAATAAGCAGCAGGAAATGCAAAAATCCAGAAGAAAAAAGGGCAACTATCTATTTTTCTATTTAAATAAGAACTAACATATGACAATAAAAATGAAGTTGAAAAAATGCAAATCCTTGAAGTCCTATAAACCACTATTTAAAGACAACACAAAAACTTTTAAAATTAAAATTAGTGGATTTTGCTTATACACCCATAGAAGAATATGCAAACAAACATTAGCTGAAGAAGAGTCAGCTTACCTCCAAGACTAATCCTAAAATAACTGCTCAGGATGTCATCACAAAAGCGACAGAGGTTGGAGAGCTGTTTCAGATGTTCTTGTAGCTGAATTTTAGGAAACCGTACTTTGTAAAGAGGTGCAAGAAAACCAAAAACATAGGCATCCAAGGTAGAAGGCCTAGAAGTAAATTAAGGATTTTTAAGCATGTAAGAAAATATTAACTAAAGGCTGGGTGCAGTAGCTCATGCCTGCAATCCCAACACTTTAGGAGGCAGAGGCAAGAAGATCACTTGAGGTCAGGAGTTCAGAGACAAGTCTGGCCAACATGGTGAAACCCCGTCTCAACTAAAAATATAAAAACACCGGGTGTGGTGGGCACCTATGATCCCAGCTACTTGGGAAGCTGAAGCAGAATTGCTTGAACCCAGGAGGCAGGGGTTGCAATGAGCCAAGATCACGCCACTGGCACTCCATCCTGGGTGACAAGAGCAAGACTTTGTCTCAAAAAAAAAGTATTAAAGATTTTTTAAGCACATATGAAAATATTAACTTGAGATTGTGTTTAAATTTTTTTTCAAATTTCTCAATTCTGAATTACACAACAGTCTTTTAAAAGGTTTACTAACCATTTTAGTTCATAAAAATGATGCAACTAAGGTTTTACTCATTGAGTAGCTTAGACTATTTTATTTAGAAGAAAATGAAACTGTCATTATAGACTCATTTTTACTCACAAGTGTTAAATAGATTGGAGGCAGAGTGGGAACAGTCTTAGATGTTTTAAATTCACATTTGCAGCCTATTAAGTCAATGTTAGATTATCACTGATAGAAAAAGTTTCCTATAATAAAAATCGATTAAATCTTTTTTTTTTTAAGTGAAAAACTCATCTTTTGGGGAGATAAGAGGACTTGCTTTAAATAGCTGCTCACTGAATATATGTGCACAAAATATCAGAATGATTTTTAGGGGAATACTCACGTATTTCCAAAGAAAAACTGAGATGTTCCCAATCTGTTTGATAGAAGATTTAGGCACTCCTTGGCATCTCTGTATATCTAATAAGGATGAAAATACACCTCAAAAGTAGAGAAGGTACTCTAAAACTATCTTTGAGGCTGACATCTCTAGGTAAAATCATTTCTGCTATTTCTCTTGTCCTTTCTCTCGAGGGACCTTGCTTAGAGAATAATCCATATCATACCTGTGCTTCCACTTCTCGGAGGTGGTAAAGGGGAGGCTGTCCTCTGGTCAGGAGGATCCTGTTTAGTGCTCCCCTAGACATTCTTCCAGGTAGAATCAAGCTCAAAGGAAAAGGAATTTGTGAAGCAAACCATGGCTTTGTCACAGTAAAGTAATTGTCACTCTCAACCCAGAATGTGTGAAGCTGCAAAAGAGGAGAAAAAAACATTACAAAGATGTTCTTTTATTAAAAGACCACTCAATGTGAGAGTTTCTCATAAATAATCTTTATATAAAGTGACTTCATACAAATTTTCCGGTTAGAATGACTCAGGATAAAACAAGATTATTTTAAATGTGTGAGTTTTGTTGACTGCTATATCCCAAGCACCCAGAACAAGGCCTGACACAGAGCAGGTGCTTGATAAACATTCCGTGAATGAATGAATTGCATCCAATTCTATACTTGGAGCAAAAAGATCCATCTCTCGCAAAGAATTTCCAAAATGATATTTTCTGTTACTTTGTTGTTTCACATACTAGTTGAATGCCTAATAGAATCCAGTTTCACAGTAATATGAAGCAATCAAGATTAACATATAAGTAAAACTTTCTCTTAAGACTTTTCTCATTGATTTTGTTCTAAGCAGACTATGTACATTTGTAACTAGGCCACTAAAATCCTGTTTTATTTAAGAACACTCACCACTGCAGGGAGAAGCTTCTCTTCGAGGAGAGCAATATAAGCCAATGTATCTGCCCCTTGTTTTGCTGAGAGTTCATAATCAGCATTATATTTCTATTTAAAAAAAAAACAAAAAAAAAACAAAGAAACTCAGAAGTCAAAGAATCCCAAAGACAGTAAAACTAATCAAATCAGGATTCCTATATTTCCTCACAAGTGGCAAACGTGGTATTAAAATAGAGGAAAGAGAAATACAAACCCAGTGAAACCTATTGCTTAATGCACATAAAGTTCTTAGCACAGCATCACAGACACAATATGGTCAATAAATGTTACAATTTATTAACTACTATTATTTTCATGCTTGTAAATTACCTAGTTCAGTGCATGGCATGTAGTACAAACTTAATAAATGCAACTAATATTTTTAACAAGAAGGAAACAGTTCCAATTGGCTGTGTTTCTCCCCATGAAAAAAGAAAAAACCTTCCAATTTATAAAAGTTCAAAATTTTATTGACACAATTTCTTTTTAAGTACAGTATGGGCAAAACCAAGATAACTTTTGCCTTTATATAAAATTTTACATGTTTAAACATTTTGGATACATAATGCTCTACTGTTAAAACATTTAGATACATTATCGAGCTTTTTTAAAATAAAATAATATAGTTGCTGGTTGGTGGGAACTCAGATGTTGTGCCCAGCACAAAATGTGTACCAACTATGTGACAAAATAGACAATCCTGTCAGTAAGTGTAATAGTGAAAATAGCTAAATCTACTTACATACAAATTTCAATAAAATTCAAGCAAAGTGTATTAAAATATAAATTGACTCTACCTCATCACGACTTTCAAATCACAGATACTCATGCTTTGCAGTAGTGATTCTCAAATCTATCAAATCTATTTTTAAATCATATCCCAGGTATCTCCAATTGTCTAATGAGTGTGCAAAAAAAAAAAAAAAGCCCAACATGAGGGATCAATAATCTACCAATCTACTTCTTCAAAGTGAACCACCCACCTGTTTTCTTAAAAAGTTTAGTATTTTTGCTGGCTGAGAAACAATGTTGTCTTCAGTTGTCAAAATTGGTACATCGCCTATAATCAAAAAACAGTTTATATACAAGGACACAGTGTGATTTCCTCTGAAGAAATTCCAATACCCTAAAAACTATAGCAATTGCACATTTAGAGGGGAAAAAATGAGTAAGCTTGCCGTAGTTTTTTTGCAGTTTACAAAGAGTGGTTCTAGAGAACATTTTCATTTCTCATAATTTCCAGTGATTTGGCTTGCACTTTGAGGTATCACTCAGAATGATCAAACCATAAGCAACCAGAGCCAAGGTCACGGTAAGAAACTAAATCTTCAATGTACTGTATAGCTATACACCTCGTAGCTTTAAATGGAAGAAGAAAAAAAAACGAGTGCAGAAAGGGGAGTGTAAAGGTTTACACTATACCTCTTGAACCTCTCCAGGTGTTATCTATCACATTGACTTTCAAGGGTGCACCAGAAAATTTGGCATAAGCCTGAAACAGAGTTTGCAATCAAACATTTTAGACCGAGTGCGTAATGCAAATCTTCAGAGCAGCTTTACTGCAAAGCCCCATCCCCAAAGGCAGAAGGCGACTGATACTGAGGCCACATCCCTCCCCGTGATCTCCAGTGGGGACACGGGCGCCAGCTACCCCGCTTTCGGGGGCTTTGCTCCCCAAAAGGTCCTGCGGATGCGGAGTACGAAGGGCGCGCCCCCTGCTTCGGGGTTTCACTCCACCGCCCAGACACCTTTGTGAGGCGGACAAAACTCGGACCCAAGCCGAGAAGCCTTGACGTTGCCGCTGGCCTTCGGCGGGGGTCACAGGCCAGACTGGGACTCGTTGGTGGGAGGGAGCCCAGGGAGATGCAGCGTGCAGCGGCCCGGCTCTCCCGGACCCGGTAGCGCAGCGAAAAACTGGGGCAAGTCAGCCTCGCGCCTCTGGCCCCGCCCCTTCTTCCCGCGACCTGGCCCGCGAGGCGGCCTCACCATCACCACCAGGGACTCGCTGTGAACCGATGGGAGCCCCCAGCCGCCTCCCCAGCAACTGAGCTCCAAGGGGGCCGCCATCTTGCGGGGGTCGACCTTTACTATCCCGGAAGTACTTTTCCGCCTAATTTCCGGCACGTGGAAAGGCGGGGGCGTGGCGAAGGGAGAGAAGGGCAAATTGAGGGAAGAGAACTACTGGAGGAATTAAAAAGCACTCTTAGGAGCAGCTTGGCCTAAAGGGTAAGAGTCCTGAACCTTAAGTCAGACGGACCCATCAGTAATTCTTCAAATATTAATATTTATTAGATCCCTAGAGTGTTCCAAAACCTTTGAACATTCAATCTGTGTGAGACCTAAATTAACGTGTTTGTAAAATAGGGATGACACAGTATTTACAAGACTGTGGTGTTTAAAATGACATGGAGGGAAAGAACTTGGCACAAAGGAGACACTCAGTAATTGTTCAACCCCTCTCCCATATGTGTGCCGTCTGCCTGCCTTTCCATCTCAATCTCAGTTCTCACCCTAATGTTCACTGGCACCACCCTGCTTAAAAGTTAACACTATTCCTGAACGTTGTCAGGTAAATTCTGCCTACCTTCAGTGCTGCTTCTTTAATCTGGAATATCTTTCTTCCCTATGCAACTGCCACCTCGAAAATGAGCTTAACTCACCTTCCCTGTGATGCATTTACAAAAGTAGGATCTCTGGGTTCCTGCAGCCCCTTGCGCATACCTAATAGCTTCTCTCTCTAGCTACAGACCTTTTGCCTTTCACAGAAGAGGGCTAGCTTCAGAGGTGTGGGACCTGTGCAGTCACACAAGGCTCTGTGCTTAAAAGGGCTCCTCATTTGGCTGATGCTCTTCCATCATTGTCTTGAAATTCTTAAGTTTTGAACAGGGGGCTCTATTTTTATTTTGGACTGGGCCCAGCAAATCATCAAGCCAGTCATGTCTGTGGGCCTAATGAGCACGGACTAAATGTTTCTTAACATTAAACCTGACAATTTCTCAGAAAAACTATTAAAGAGGAAATTTTGGTCTTGGAAATGCTATGATCCAAGCATATGACTGGGTCTCAGAGTTAGAACTTTGGTGCTGGGTCTTTTTTCTAGAAGATGCAGTAGTCCTTCTGGGATACCCTCCCTGTCATGCCTCTGAGTTCTTTACTTTTCTTTATCCCACGGAGATGGTTGGGTCTCTTTAAACAACTAAAACTCAAAATAAACCTCTACAACTTTTCGTAAAATTATTCAACAAATATTTGCTAGGCATTCCCTTACTGTTTACATAGTCATCTAAATTACCCTGCCAGCCTGCTAAAGTCTTTTTTACATGTGTCAGAAACAAGGTTCTTAGAAATGAGAGATAAGTCAGAGATGAGAGTTCATTAATAACTGTGTAACTGGGAAATGCTTAACATATGTACCATTAAAACTAAATATCGAAACATTTATTGAGCAGCTCCTATGTCTAAGACATTATAAGGCTCTAGAACAACACAGAGATATATAAAATATGAATTCTGTCCTCAGGAGTTTACAGTGCACAAAGGAGACATACACACAGCAAGGTGTAACAAGTCAGATAATCATGAGTGGGGTTAGAAATAGAAGCAAAATACTAGAGAAATGCAAAGGAGGGACAGTGCATCCTCTGTGTGATCAGTGGATACTGTTGAGTCTTAAGTATAAAGAAAGTAATTCAACTTTCAGATTCAAGTAATGGAACCTCCCTGTTTTGAGCATTAAAAATGCCAAGACATAGACTGACAAAGGCAAGGCAGGGAAAGTTCCTAAGCTGTAAAGCTCAGAGTCCATATACTACAATGAGGCTTTTAAAACAGTCATACAGAAAGAATGTGGATTTCCTGGGTCTTGTTTCTGAGAGAAGTAGATGAACATTCTTAGTGGACACATAACACAGTTACTCAGTTTGGCCTTCTCCCATACTGCTGCTGCTACATACAGTGATTTCATTTGCATTAAAGAGAATTAAATCTCTTCCCTTAGTGTTGAATTAAGACACAATAGCATGCCATTGCATCTGATGAAAGAATCCTTACATACAGGTTTATTAGTGCATAGTTAATAGCAATCTTTTATTGCTGCAGTTCTTCCCAAGAGTCTGAATCTGTTAGATTGAATTTAAAAACTCTAACATAGCCGATTGCACAAACAGCCTGAATACTGTTCCAGAGAACCGCACAGAAAACTGAAACCTTCAGAAATTATGCCTGGTATGGGTAGTTGGCTCCTGTGCGTTTTCCTGGCTGCTAAAGAGTATTGTTCAGAGTTCATCAAAATCATAATTTTAGATTCCTACCGGGAAGAATACTATCTGCAAGACATCCATGTATGTGTGGGATGGCCTGAATCACAGCTTTATAATGGGTATCCCAGACAATGTTTTCTCCCAAAAAAGAAATCTTATTTTTCAAAAGATGATCATTAAAATGGTTTTATTTGATGATAGTCATCTGGACTCAGGCATTCTGACCTTGGCATCCATTCCTGTCCTTCATGTGTTTCTTAACTTGGGAGCCATGGTGCAAGATTTGTTAGGCTCTTTTTGTCTGGGTGGTTAAGAATCTGGGAAATGGTGCTGTTGGGAAAGATGAAAGATTTGTGACAAGTGATGGTGCAGTATTTGGTCCCTTATGGGAAAATTGTAGAGTCTTAAATATTCCTTTGAACTTGAAGATTCTGTAATTTGTTTTCAGATATAAAATCCTTCAGGAGAAAAAAGATCAAACACCGAATACAAGTCAGGAGAGCTAAGTTCTTGACTTGGCCTCTGATTAGCCATATGCACTTGAGCCAATCATTTTACATTGATTCCTCTGCTTGTTCATTTATAAAGCAAAAGTTCTTTTGTCTCTGAGACCCTATCATTTTATGTGTAATGAACATTTAATAATTTCTGACATTTATGGAGCAATATCTAAATGCTAGAAGTTGTTTCAAGTATCTAACATAACTTACTTGATCTCCTTAATAACTCCATGACACAGGTGCCTTCCTAAGGTTAACTAACATCTTTGTGTCCCTCCTTGAAAATAGAAGAAAACATCAGTACCCATATAGCCAGTAGGTGGTAGAATCAGGATTTGAGACTTGGCAGTTTTGGTTCAGTTTATATTATTAACCACGGTGTCATATTGCCTCATGTAGCCTCCTAAGTAGTCCATTAAAAAGCCCAATTTCACTCAAAGTGAAGATATCAATGCCATGATATTATCGTTATTACTTATGTAAATAATATTTATTTAGTATTACACCGTTAAACAAATTCATTAAGTAGCTTTTGTATGCCTTGCATACCGCAAGGCTGTCAGGGAATAAAAACTCATGTTCGTGGCTGGGCACGGTGGCTCACGCCTGTAATCCCAGCACTTTGGGAGGCCAAGGTGGGCAGATCACAAGGTGAGGAGTTCGAGACCAGCCTGGCCAATGTGGTGAAACTCCATCTCTACTAAAAATACAAAAAAATTAGCCAGGCATGGTGGTGCATACCTATAATCCCAGCTACTCAGGTGGCTGAGACAGGAGAATTGCTTGAACCCAGGAGGCAGAGGTTATAGTGAGCAGAGATCACACCATTGCACTCCAGCCTGGGTGCCAGAGCAAGACTCCATCTCAAAAACAAAAACAAAACTCATGTTCACCTGTAATCCTAGAACTTTGGAAGGAGGATCACTTGATCCCAGGAGTTCAAGACAAGTGTGGGCAACATGATGAACCCTTCTCTCAACAAAAACACAAAAATTAGCTGGGTATGATGGTGTGTGCCTATAGTCTCAGCTACCTGGAAGTCTGAGGTGAGAGGATCACTTGAGCCCAGGAGGAGAAGATTGCAGTTAGCTGTAATTGAAGAAACTTATGTTCAGGTTTTAAGAGGCACAGTTGATGAAACAAGGTCCACATATTGAACTAAGTAGAGACTATTACGGAGTACCATTTTATCAAGAATATAAGTCTAATATGATTTTAGACAAAGGCCTTAATGTAGTGCAATGCTTGGCAAAGGCCTAATGAAAGAAGTAAGATGCTAGCTGATCTTGAAGGGTGGGTATGTTGCATTTAGATTGGCACAGGGTAAGGCATTGCATGTGGGCTGTGCTACATGAGTGAAGGCATAGAAATGGGACTGACCACGGCAAGGAATAGGAAGATGAATAAATGAATGCTAGATTTGGTTATAAGCTGGAAGCTGCTCAGGGAGAGTATTGATTGACTAACTTGAGAACCAGAATTGGAAGGCATGGGAATTTGTAGTTTTGAGAAAGTAAAGAAGACAAATAAAAGTCCAAATACGATGTTAGTGGGCTTACATAGTCAAGGATGGGAGGTAGACAGCTATTGTTACATGGACATTATAAGAAGAAGCATTTTGTAAACAATAAACTGTATTAAACAAAGTAAAAATATGGTAGAAAATGAAGAGAACATGCTGCTGAATATTACTGGAGGAAGGTCACTTGACACCCTTCCACTGAGCATTTTTTATAGAGGAGGTTGTTAGAAATCCAGTGGCCAGGGATTACTGGAGAAAAGGGTATAAATAATAAGGACAGGTAAAGAGCATGTGGAATAGGACAGATACAGGAAGAAGATAAATGGGACAGGAGTGAAAGACTCAAGAAAGTTTTTGAAAGAGATGACAGGGTGAAACTACACACATACGAAGACAAAATTGGCTGTTAGTGAGTAAAAGCCTGAAGATGCTGGAGAGAAGGATGGGATGCTAGGAATTGCCCCAAGAGTTGAGGCTGAGATCTGGAGCTTGAGCGGCAGGGCTGGCATTGAAAATGAGACACATGCTTTCCTGCTGACACTGGAGGAAATTTCAAGGGGAACCATGGGATGCTGAGTAGATCAAATCAGTTACCTTCAAATTTCCCTATTACATTATCAAAAGTGCCTGAGATAAAGAGATTGGTGCTTTAAAAAGACAGCTGGGCACAGTGGCTCAAACCTGTAATTCCCAACACTTTGGGAGGCCAAAGCAGGCAGACCACTTGAGAATCACTTGAGGTCAGGAGTTCCAGACCAGTCTGGCCAACATGGTGAAACATGGTCTCTACTAACACAAACAAACAAAACAAAACAAAA